GACCATCACCTTCAACTCAACCTGGCTAAGACCGAACTGCTTGTGGTTTCAACAAACCCATCACTTTATCAAAATTTCACCATCCAGTTAGGCTCATCAACCATAACTCCTTCAAAAACAGCTAGAAACCTTGGAGTTGTGATTGATGATAAACTGACTTTCTCAAACCACATTGCTAAAACTGCCCGTTCCTGCAGATTTGCTTTATACAACATTAGGAAGATCAGGCCCTTTCTTTCAGAACATGCAACACAACTCCTTATTCAAGCTCTTGTTCTATCCAGGCTGGACTATTGCAATGCTCTCTTGGCAGGTCTTCCAACCACTTCTATTAAACCTCTAGTAAACAAGATGAATCTTTAATGAGCTGAAAAAAGAACGTACGTCACACCTCTGTTCATCAATTTGCACTGGCTACCAGTAGCTGTTCGCATAAAATTCAAAGCATTAATGTTTGCCTACAAAACCACCACTGGCTCTGCACCCCTTTACCTTAATTCACTACTTCAGACTTATGTGCCCTCTAGAAGCTTGCGTTCTGCAAGTGAACGATGCGTTATTGTGCCATCTCAAAGAGGCACAAAATCACTTTCACAGGCTTTTACATTAACTGTTCCCTCCTGGTGGAATGACCTGCCCAACACAATCCGAGCAGCTGAGTCCTTACCCATCTTCAAGAAACGACTAAAAACACATCTGTTCCATCTTTATTTGACCCTCTAACTCTAGCACTTTCTATTCTATTTTAATTCTACTTAATCTATTTATCTTCTTTTTTATTAAAAAAAAAACACTAACTTTCAATTTTTTCGATTCTATCTACTTGTTTTTCTTTGTGTGTGTGTGTATTATATATATATACTGTATATATATATATATATATATTTACTTGTCATTTGCACTTATATATTGTTGCTCTTTTGTTAGTTTTGACTGCTTTTATTGTCCTCATTTGTAAGTCGCTTTGGATAAAAGCGTCTGCTAAATGACTAAATGTAAATGTATAAGAATGGGTTCTCCATTCATCCAAGCCACCATAAAACCTGTGAATGAAGGTTGCTACAAGTTTTACAAATCACAGCTTGAAGTGACCGGGTCATGTGTGCGTGTGTGTGCATGTGTTGCATCCAATCTGCCCTCTGAGCCTCTCCTGGCTTAGACTGATCCATGTTGCCACGGTGACGTGAGAAGGCTGAGTGATCGAGATCCTTTCTGCATTCATCACGAGGGCTGGTTGGTAATTTAGAGAGGAATGATTGCCTAACAACATCATGGTTTAGAAACATCAGTTCAGACCATCTCCTCAACAATCGACTCAAAACTAACAGACACAAAATGTGCAAGTCCTTAACAGTAACAATTCAACAATCAATTTTACCAGAGTAGAGAGATCAATAACTGGGACAAGGATATAGAGATAAGAGGATAACAGGATATGAGGAAAGTAACAGAACTAATGAAGAGGGGAAAAACAGAAACAGATTGATCTACAAGAAAACAAACTGATAGAATTTAAATGCAGAGACAAACACATAGGAAGCGAGTAAATAATTAGCTGCTTAAGACATTCACTGTGACTGGATTTGTCTTCTGACACTATAAACTATAATCTGACACTATAATCTTTTACAATTAAAAGAGCTCTTCTTGCTCCTATTTTTGACTGATAAAAACATGGAATGTAACATCCACTTTTTATAAAAGTTCCACTCATAAATAATTGTTGTGTGATGAGATTTCATGTTAACTTTTCCCTAAGAGCAGGTTCCCCAATATGTTTAGAAACTACAAATAGCTTGAGGCATTGGACAGAACTGCACTTTTATCAAGAGATCTACTACAGGTCAAATTTTTCTTTATGCCAAAAACTTTTTATTTGCACATCAGAGAAAAAAAATTATCTCTCAAATCCATTTCCATTGTAAGTGCCATATAAGTGCCACTGTTAGCTGCTGTGATTAGAACCAGCCATTACAGCTAACCTTTATGAATCACACTGCAACATCTGTTTCAGGTAGCATCACAAAATGAAAATTTTGCCTGGGCACAAACTTGTTCAGGGATATTAGACTACTGTAACATATATTTCTGCTATATATGTTTCTTGCATTAGCCTACTGTATGTACACTAGCAGTCAAAAGATCAAAAGAACAGTAAGATTTTAAATGTTTTTTAAAGAATTCTCTTCTGCTCACCAAGCTTGCATTTATTTGATCCAAAGTACAGCAAAAACAGTAATATTGTGAAATATTTTTACTATTTAAATTAACTGCTTTATATTTGAATATATTGTAAAATGTAATTTACTCCTGTGATTTAAAGATGAATTTTTAGCATCATTACTGTCAGTCACATGATCCTTCAGAAATTATTTTAATATTCTGATTTGCTGATATTCTGATTATTATTATTATGGTGAACAACGTAATTAGAATTTGTAGATTTTTAAAGGTTGTTTTATGAATAAAAAGTTCAGAACAGCATATATCTGAAATCTAAATTTTTGTAACATTATACATTTCTTTATCATCACTTTTGATCAATTTAAAGCATCCTTGCTAAATAAAAGTATTAATTTCTATAATTTCTTTCCATCTCTTCTGCTCACCAAGCTTGCATTTATTTGATCCAAAGTACAGCAAAAACAGTAATATTGTGAAATATTTTTACTATTTAAATTAACTGCTTTATATTTGAATATATTGTAAAATGTAATTTACTCCTGTGATTTAAAGATGAATTTTTAGCATCATTACTGTCAGTCACATGATCCTTCAGAAATTATTTTAATATTCTGATTTGCTGATATTCTGATTATTATTATTATGGTGAACAACTTAATTAGAATTTGTAGATTTTTAAAGGTTGTTTTATGAATAAAAAGTTCAGAACAGCATATATCTGAAATCTAAATTTTTGTAACATTATACATTTCTTTATCATCACTTTTGATCAAATTAATGCATCCTTGCTAAGTGAAAGTATTAATTTCTATAATTTCTTCACCCCCCCCCCCCCCCCCCCCAAAAAAATATTCTTTTTAATAGTTTTG